ACTCACTCTACTCCACTCACTCACTCACTCACTCTACTCCACTCACTCCACTCACTCACTCACTCACTCTACTCCACTCACTCACTCACTCACTCACTCACTCTACTCCACTCACTCCACTCACTCACTCACTCACTCTACTCCACTCACTCACTCACTCCACTCACTCACTCCACTCACACACTCCCCACTTACTCATCCCAACTCTGCTCAAGTCCCAACGCCCCACCATGGCAGACGCCTGCTGCTCCAGGATGCGTGTTATTTCTGCTTCCACCACGTCCATCTGCTCTAGTAACCTGAGCTGTGGCAGCAGACTTTGCTCACCCAGTATTTGCACCAACTCATCTGGGAAGATGGACGACTGCCCAGAGAGCTACTGCGAGCATCCCTGCTGCACCCCCTCCTGCTGCCAGTCCTTCTGCTGTGCCCCCACCTACTGTGCCCCAGCTCCCTGCCTGACCCACATCTGCAGCCCCGTGAGCTGCGGGTCCAGCGCCTGCCAATCAGGCTGCACTGCCTCCTGTGGGCCCTCCTGCTGCCAGCCTGCTTGCTGCACACCCGTCTGCTGTAAGCCTGTCTGCTGCACACCAGTGTGCTGTACACCTGTGTGCTGTAAGCCTGTCTGCTGCACATCTGTCTGCTCTATGCCCGTCTGCTGGGAGCCCGCCTGTTGTGTGCCCGTCTGCTGTGGGGCTTGGCCCCTGCTCCTCCTCCTCATGCTGCCAGCCCTCTCCCTGTGCCCCCTCCTGCTGCAAACCCTCCTCCTGTGTGTCTCTGCTTTGCCGCCCCATGTACCCCCAGGGGACCTGCTGCTGAGTGTGCTGCATGTGCCGCTCCCTGTCAGGGCTCCCACAGCCCCTAGCTCATTGGGGTGGACAACAACCTGTGCTGTCGGGGCTCCCCACACTTCTCCCATGCCAGGCCAGAGTCTAGTTGGTTCCAGACTCTCATAGTTACTCCAGCACACGATGGGCCCCTGTGACTCCAGTGAAGGTCGCTCCTTCCCATTCACTAGAGCCTTTGCTCTGCTGACCACCAGCCTGGCGCCCAAACCAATACATCCCATCCTCACTCCATCTGATGAGTCCACCTAGTCTGTGTTTCTCACATGGGGACTCTGCTCTCAAACCCAGGGTCACATGGTCCCAGAGGCCGAGTTCTGGTCACTTAATTGACTTGCAATAAATACTATTGGGGGTGCAAGGGGTTATGTGTTGAGCTGCTAACTGAAAGGTGAGTGGTTCAAACCCACCAGCTGATCCTTAAGAGAAGGATGAGACTGTCTGCTTCTGAGTTAGTTAATTGTGCCAACCTGGCCGATAA